CCCTTTTTACTGGAAAACACTGGAGCATGGAAACTGTGAACCACAGGCACTCTCCCTGCCTTGGGCTGATCTGGAGCTCAATTTTACGCCCCAGGATGGTGCCTGGCTTTACTTCAGCATATCCAAGGCAGCAAACCTTTAAGAACAGACCCAGTCAGTAGTCTGTCCTACAGAGCCCATCAAGCTGGCAGATACCCGCTGCTGTTGAGGCTTCACAGGCTGCCTGGTGACAATCCCAGGGAAAGCCCTAAGCACTGGGCTGCTTTCAGCTCCTCCTCTACCACTCGTAACAYCCGGTCATGGATGGGCCTGAACTGCATGAACTCAACCGCTCGGTTTGAGATGTGTGTCTGACACRCAGGGAGCACGAGGAAGACAATCACTCCCACGAGCAGCTGAGCAGGACTCTGGTGTGCGATTAACATGAACGGTGACCATTTACTTGGTCAGCAACATGTTTGGGGGGTATAGTTCAAGAAGCAGCAGTTCATGTAGGATGTGGCAATTCGTAACACCCCCCACCATGCAAAGGTGACACAAACGCCTTTGAAAAGCCAGATACATCCACAACYATCACCCTGTGCATTGTTTCCTTGTCCTTCCTTTCCCTTGCAGCTGCAAAATATAAAATGAGTCTACAGGAGCGACTGCTCATCCTATCTGCATGCCGTGCTCTTGGGTTGCTCATTCTCCTCCTCTTTCCTGGCAGTTCTCTGATACCCCCTTTTGAAACTTGCCCAGAAGGCAGCAGAGTGACCAGCCAGTGACAGCAAACAGATCTATTTCCCAAGAGAGAAAACACACAGCTTCCCCTCCGCAACATCCCCAGTTCTTCTAAAAACAGGATGAGAGCCAGGATGCAGAGGCCCGAGTTCAGGGGACTGGGTTTAACCTGGATTTCCTGGCAAACATGTAGAGCTCATCATTTTGTCTTGTAGTCTTGACTGCTCAAAACGGGAACTGGGAACAGGCTAATAGCTGGATTACATTGTTTTAAATACTCTGTTTACAATTATGAGAAAACCCTGCTCAGTCTCCTACTTGAGTAAACATCCTTGGGGTGTTGCCATCAGTTAGAAATAATAGGAATTGTATCTYCGATACATCCCCGGTTCAACAGGTTATGGGGACAAAGAAGCAACAATAACGACTAAGAGCACATTTATTAGGTATTTGCTAGATTGATCATTTTTTCTAGTAAATCCAGGAGTCAGTGTATCTAYATAGGAGAACTGGCAGTTCTGGGGAGATCCATGTTCCAAATGAAAAATGTCACTGCTGCAGATAAAGAGCTTGTTGCCCCTCTGCTGAAGGCATACCAAAAATCTGCAAAATGGCACTGACACCACATCTGATAATGACAATGTGATTTAAAAAGAGATGGAAACTTTGGAAAGGGCAGAGGGGAATGAAATTTTCTTTTACGGGAAAAACATTTCAGRCAAGCTATTACATGTTTTGTGTTATTTGCTGAATATCGTACAAGTAGGAGGCCTGCCCAACCGCTTCAGTTTACAGCAGGAAGACCAAAAATTCAGCAATTGGGAGCTGAAAGCTCGAACAAACATGACTCTGTTTTCTGTTGTTTACTGATAGCTTCTTAGGACACATCGGTATCCCTGGTGTTATTCACCACGTAACTTCATGCAGATCTTAGAGGCCTTTGCTATGGTGATTTTTCTTTTCTTTCATTATCATAGGCAAACAAACAAAAACATCTTTGGTGGGATGAATGTAATGTACAGAGTAGGTCCATGCCTACAGACAGTCTTTTTTACAGTTCCACCTAATGAACAGCACCAACGTTGCCAGCAACAGAGGAAAATAACGCTGCTCCAAACACCTCCTGGAAGGACCATCGCTTGAAGTGACAACCAGCTCTGTCTCCAGGCTCATTTCATCCCTTTTGCCTCCTCCCAGACACCTCAGCTGCTCTTTTAGGTTACACCAGATCAGCCAACACACARACTGAGCAAGTTACTGGATTGAGGGCATCAACTAACTTCACACTGGCCTTAAACAGAGGGAAATAATAATGACCTGGGCAACAAGGCTAAAGGACTTACAGGAAGACTGGCCGTAACGTGCATGGCCACATGAATTGGACGTTTCCCACCACACCGCTTCGAGGCTGAGCTATTTTCACTGCAGGACACCAAGGAGCCTGTCAGTCTCTCTCTTCAATTGGGCACCGCAGAAAAACAAAACCAAACCAGGTTAAAATAAACAGCTCCTTCCAGGCTCCCTCAAAGCCTCGCTCTGTCTGGAATCTCTCAGCTCTGTCTAATTAAACAACCATCCAGATGTGTTATTTTAAAACTTCAGACCTTGGTAACAGAAGCCGCGGGGAATACGGACAGCGGGGAAGCTTCCTTGGAAGCCACTGGGAATGTCRATGTTCCGCCAAGCGCCTGGTGCTCTCCTCCTTCCCCGACTGGCAGCTCTTCCAGGGCTGCGTTTACTTTCTGGAGCAATAAACCCCATGCAACAAATGGAAACCTTGGCACACACCAGGAAAAAGGCCACTCCAGTTTCAGTACGTGGATGTGAAACTTATACTTGGCCAAGCTTTTACATAGGCCTTGGAAGAGCATGCACAAGGAGAGATTCTTCAGCTCCTGGGTGCTATTTTGGGGACTTTCTTTCTGGCCCCAAATCTGCCACTGGATATGAGTCACCAATACACAACTACATCACACTTAGCAAACTGCAGTTTGCCACCAATGCAAATCCTCTGAAAGGCTGACCCAAATCTATCACACAGCACCGCSGAGAGCAGGGCACAGCTGCACTGTCCTGAAAGGGGGCAGCTTCCCTGTCTCTTGCAGCATGCCCACACAACAAATTCAACTGTAAATTAAATTACTGATCCCCCAAGTTCAGCACRTCAGCTGCAAGAACAAAAAATATTCGATGGATTTAAAACGGTTCCTGCAGATCAAATTTATAAGCTTTCCCTCTCTGGAATAGGGTTTAATTGACAAGGGAAGCCTCTGAGCTGGAGCAATGTGCCCAGCACTGGTGGAGCAGGCTGTCATTAATAAGTGTGGGCCCCTATCACTGCTGTTTTCGTTATTTCCTGTGGSGTTAAGCAGCTACCATTTATCACTTTCAGCTCTTCAGCAAATCAGCATGCATGATGTTGCCTTGTTTCCTACTACGGACTTTTCTGACACAACTTCCCCTGTGCCATACACATATTTGATTTGGTACATCCTGTGTGTGCTCCAACTGATAGAGGTATCCTCAAAAAGCACATCATCACTCTTGAAAGCTCCAGAAAAATTACAGGCCTCTTCCATCTGAACTAAGATAATGAGGTTATTGTTCTTTCAGTGAATTACGCGGGCTCTCTCAGAATACACTCATTCAGAAGACGTTTCTGTAGATATTGTCTCCTCACTTGGTTATTTGTGCTACAACACCTACACAGAGGCACATTTTGGGAAACTGGCTACACCTTGTAAGAGCTGGAACCCATTCCCAGCTGTGCGCTGTTCTCCCATGAGATACTATCTCCTCAGTACCTGAAGTGAGTGGGATGATGATATTCACCCATAGGTGAAGTGCTTTGAGACTGAGAGAAACGTGTTATGATTGTAGGGAAACCTTGGAGGCTTATTTCCCAGCCTGCAGTTCCTGTAAAGTTCCCATYCACCTGGCACTTTGGCTTTCAATAGAATGAAAGGCAGGGGAAGTATCCTTGAAGATAATCTTCTCCATATGAAAGAGATTTTTTTCCAAGAGCCYAAAGCACCATTGGCAAACTCTAGGCTATTTAGGCTTCCTCCGTGAACTGCAGGTAAAATGAGGGCAGCGATGGTGCCGAAAGCAGAATTCACCTCATTGGCCTTAAGCTGTTTGAAAGTGAGAAAGTGTCTCACATTGGTCATCAGTGCTTTTGCTGCGATGGATAAAAGAGMGAGAAGACACCTCTAAAAGCTAATTTATCACCTTCCAAGATCTTTGGCACAAATCACCTTCCACAGGTTCCTACCTGGAACTCCTAAGAGCTGCTCTGTGCCATACACCCGACTTGTGCACAGCCAGAGCTCAGTGGGGTGAACCTATACCCCAGCAATCAGTGGGGTGAACCTATACCCCCCTGAGCTGCGGTTCCTGCTCTGACTGACTCTGGTCTTACTGAACTAGCAACAGAAATGGCAGCAATTTTTAAAAACTTTCCTGCTGTGCTCCAATGCTGAATTAAAGCTGCACGAAAAGATACTCAAATGGCCTTTAAAAGCTTGCTACAGAACCTCACATATAGAACTGCATTTCACGTCCACCCTCTGAACTATTCCAGCTGGCAGCACTTTACAAAGAGCAGGCAATAGGAAATATAGTGTTAGTGTCTTCATGGACTGTTGCACGTTACCCTAGTCAGGAGGGACCCAAGATCTTGGGATCAAAGGATGGAGGCACAGAAAACAAGCGCACGTATCGCAGCAGGAGGTGACGGTAAATAGAAACCCTCTCTGTCCACACAGAGAGGTTTTTATTAAGGACTGCTAAAATTAAAGTTCCTTTTAACTTGTTTTTAAATACTTCATTCCCTTGGCACCTTCTTCAAAAGCACAGTCACTAACCCAGAAGTGCGCAGGAAGAGGAAAGTGGTTTAAGTGTGTAACTCTCCCTTCCCCTTGCCTGTCTTCCTCTGGGTACATTAGGTCTAGCCACAGAAAGCTATTTTTTAAGCAGATTTAATTTGCAGAGAATTTGAAACTCAAAAATGGGTGCAGGTTTTATTTGGGATATACACATCCCAAATGCTTGGAGGGGTGTCTCTTGTTTAAATATCCCCTGATAAAAAATAACAAGATAGTAATAACAAAACACCAAAAGAGAAAAAGGGAAGGAGCAGGTTCCAAATTGGATTTAGCCAATAGGGTCTCAAATCTTCAAACTCAAAGCAATCAACAATAAATCTACTCCTTCAAAAAAGAAAATACAYAGCAATTTTCCCCTCCATCCTTTCTCAGTCCCATGCCTTCACTCACTTTCTTTCAGTGTCAGGTGTTGATGCAGCACTGCTGAGACCAAGCGACTCCTGCAAGAAAAGACACAGAGCAGTGAGTGCAAACAAAAGAGAAGCAGTTTATGCAGCTTGTTAAAAAACAAACAAAAATAGATGTTCAAAATCGTAGTGCCTACCTCAATCTGGGATCGCAACTGGAGAGATGTGGGGCTGGCATCAGATTTCTCCTAAAACAGAACAGATGTCAAGTTAATGAAACATCCAAACACTAGAAAGAAGAATTTGGAAGGACAGAAGAAGAAGAAAAAAAAGAGAGTAAAAGAACCTTGGACAACCCGAAAACTTTTCAAATGGCATGCATTAACCTCTCTCGAAGGAATTACTCTCAGGGAAATTCTGAAATACTCCAGCAAAACCTAAYACCATTCTTATTACTGCAGAATATCACACACTAAGGCTGCTACATAGAAATACTTCAAAATAAAATAGAAAGTGAAATGAGTTATTTTCATGAAAAGATCAGTGTTTAACAGATGTTTATGGAAGAGGGTGAGCAGTTTTTCAGTATTTTGTAACTCTCTCTCTTATGTTTTTATTTGCAGTGTACTGCAAAAAARAAAGTGTACTTGATGGCTGTGTCTTGCACAGGGTTCCGGCCAGAATAAAGCCCTGGTAATGATGGGGCAAAAAGCTGAAGCTCAAGATCTGCTTCTGTCGRCCAACTAGAGGAGCTTAAATTCGCCTGGCTAAAGGAGATCGTGTCTCTTATGTGACATTCCCCAACCTTCTTGGCAGTTGCAACACAGAATTTACAGCAAACTTWACTAACAAATATTTTGCTGCAACAATAATATTGGAGGATCAACTGCAAATGTAAAACCTAAAGGCACCATTTAATAAAGAGCATAAACTGGATAATAATTGAGAATTCACTCAGTACTTTATCTTCTAAGTCACACAGATAGAGCCAACTCAGTTCACTTCTAAACACAGATAACTCTTTTCTGCAGCACAATGTGGCCCAATGGCTGCGAGCTGGGAACAAAGTGCAGGGCTTTGGGCTACCAGTTACTGCACTAATGATGCACCCAGAAACACACCCACAAATTCTTGTTCCTGAAAGGAGTAAAATCAACAGTGTCTTCTGAAAACCTGGTGATTGAGTGGAAGTTATCACCATATTTCTTCTTATAGTGTATCACTAAAAAGTATGACTGTTAAGATTCATACTTAATTTCTACTTTTTCCATTGAAACACCTTGTTTCTCTTGTGTTTAGTTTCGTGAATTATAAAACATCCTTGCATACAATTAGCAACAATAATTCTCCTTGTACAATATATATTTTGTATTGCTGATAGAGCTGCAGATGAAAACAAAGATACGAATAGGAGAAAAAAATTATACTAGATCCACACAAAATTTGTTAGGTAATGTGTAGGTGGTATTTCCAAAAATAAGCTTTAAGGAAGGTTACACAGGAAAACTTAAGTATTAGATGGGTGTTTTCTAGGCTGAAATTCTTAGTCTTTAAATGTCTAAAAGGTACTACTGGGTCTACTTCTGGAATCGGTCACCTAGACTCTCTTTCCAGTCGCTGGAGAGACAGGAATCTTTACAGAGAATTCACCCAGCAGGTTTTCGGTGCCTCGAGTCAGACGAGATGCRTCCCATTCACGGCATCCAATTTGACACTGCAAGCCAACCACTGCAAAGGCACCTGTTATTAACCCTGAGTCTGGCTGAAGTCAGTGGGAAAATTCTGATTATAACRAAGGAACAAATTATAGTTATTTGTCAGAGCTGAAACTGCAGCTTCTTACTTCGTCTGCATGTGAAGCAAAGGGAGGAAGCCAGGTCAAGCCCTGGAGAAGCTGCGGCGAAGCCAGTGCTGTAACCAGAGGGGCTTTGCAGCTGGGGTAGCAACCACACACKCCCCCAAGAAGGCAAGAGGACGTGGATTTATCTGCGAGTACCATGGAGGTCTTTTTCCTTCATGCATTCCTCAGCCCACATGGAAATCTCTCTTATCTCTATGAAATTGTACTTCCTATGCCCTTTGTTTACAGAAAGGCTGACAAAACATTCCCAAGATGTGATACAAAAGGAAAATTCGATACAAGTTTGTGAAAATGTGGGCTTTGGGCACCGAACAGGAAACTGGCACCAACTGCCATGAAGTGGCACTGGGTTAGGGCTCCCAGGGAATGTGCAAATCCCAGAGCCGAGAGGAGTCCGTGCAGCCACCCCAGAACCCACGGAGCTGGCGGGCGCAGCCGCCCGGGCTGGCCAGGATGGCTCAGTGCCACGAAGCTGTTAYGATACTGTCACAGACGCCACGGGGTCACAGCCCGCCACGAGGATCTTGCCCAGCCGTGGTCAGCAGGGCTTTATAGCATGAAAAGGGAACCGAGGACCTTGAGTTGAAGTCTGCACGCAAAAGGAACCAAATCACGTACGGTCAGCACCGCCAGGACCCCTCCTATAGCCAAGGAGAAGCTGGCCGGAGCCCAGGGAAATTCCACGGATGTCCGCAGATCCRCAAGGGGAAATCAGCTATTTGGAAACAGGCACAGCAGCGGAGCCGTTCAGTTCTTTGTCACTCGCTGTTTCCATTTTCACATAGCTGAAATACATGGTTCTCCTTCCTCTTCTCCACTAGCTTTGTGAAAAGCTTCAAGCTTCACATCTTCAAGCTTCATACAGCCAGTCAGGAGAACCCACTGTGTCCCCAACATACGTTTAGACTGCAACTTCTCAGCAGTAAATATCCCACTTTGTGATGACTTGTTTTCTCCAAAAGTTTCCTAAATTTTCCTAGTCTTTGKAAAGTATCCTTTACAAGATATGCAGTTTCCCAAGACTTTATGTGAAGTCTTTTGCTCAAGTGAGTTGCTTGTAAAGCTGTGGACTGAAAGTGCCATTAAACAGGTTATCTCTCTCAGTCTAAAACTATTCAGAGGAATAAGTGGCTGCTCCCTGTGTAACCAAACCCTGAAGGAAGCTGAGTGTATTTGCTTTCTATTGTCTCATTTGCTGTGAAGCCCACCCTTGCAACAGGAACAGTTTTATGGGCTCAAGATGAGAGTGGAGCAGAGCAACAAGCACAACTCACCTCTCCCCACCTCCAAAGCTGTAATTGCAGTGCCAAACATCTGATAATCTTGTATCCTGTATATACCTACCCATCTTTCCAAAAGGATCATATGTTTGCTATTTAGACAAGAAACTGCGTGTTAGGGAAATACTGCTCTCCACTGAACTTCTGGCATGGCTCTATATTGCACAGATGGCAGAACTTTTCCCTGCCTATTCTATTTACCTAAGTTAGAAACCTCGCAGGAGAATCCACAGGTTGTGCTGACTCACATCCAGCAGGTTCAGAACCTTTTACCATTCTGGAAACTTGGGAAAAGCTGATATGACTGGCATGCTCTCAAGCATACCGTAACCTCTTTGCGAAAAAATATTTGACAAGATTAGTCTTTGAAAGACAGCACATCTCCACACCTCTCTGAACCAAATCTTACAAAAATAAATACGGGAGAGCCTGGGCTTACAGAGGCATCCCTGCAGGAACAGCCTGCCCTAGGCAGCATTTCCAGGACTGCAGACCAATGGGCAGTGGGGCTGGAGGTGTTGGCTGCCCTGGGTGGGCACGTGCTCTGTGCGCCCCTCTGAGTGCCCGACACGTTGCAGACACTCATGCTGATGACACACGAGGTGTGCTGCTCTGAGAAATCCAGGCATCCGAGGAAGGGCCTGATGGATTGTGTTTTCCAGAAGCACCTGACTGGTGCTGCAGGCTCCCTGAGCCATGTATATAAATCCAATGTTTCCCAAAGTGTCTCACTCACTCGCATGATTTCTGGRTTTAGGGGGCCCTGCCTGGTGGAGTCACTGTTCTGTGCAGCCACGACCAATGCATACTACACGTCTGAGGTACTGCTTAGACCTCAGCAACCAAGATCCAGAGAGCTCAGCTAACAGAGATAATCATAAATTATATCCAATCTGAGAGGCCAGAGAGTGGCTTAACATCAGCTTGCCCAGCTCCAAACAAGGAGGTCCAAGTGCACTATGTGCCTTATTCCTGCTCCTAGTTGTCCCCTGTGCTCTCCTTCACGGGAAGGGGYGCTGGGATAGGGATGCCGGTCCCGGCTGTGGTTCTCATCCCGGGAGCACAGGTGGGCAGCGCAGCCTCGGGCAGCCCAGGGAGTACCCAACCTTTCCACAACTCGGGGAGCACCAAAAGCTGCTCCTGGGTTAAACTGCTCCCCTGCAGAAGAGCCAGTGCACTTTACAGTACAGGGCTTTTTAAAAATATCACATTTCTAAAGAAAAGTGTGATTTTTAAAGATAACAAGCAAGATTCGTGGCCTGTGCCTCAAGGTTTAAGTTGCTTGGCTMGGGGCTCAAGAAAGAAGCTTCCCTCAATGGCAGCTTTTCTGTTTACTTAGTATGCTGCTTACTGTGTGTTTACTGTGTGTTTACTGTTTATTGAATCATTTAAACAGTTTCTTTCAAATAATTTCAGGTTCCTAAATAATGTGTCTTTTGTTTTGTWTACTATCATTTCTGTAAAAATCTTGAGAATAGTCTAATGCCCATTCACATATGAGTGTATGAGCTAAGCCTGAAAGGCGCCTCAGGGAAGCAAGCACAAAGCACAGATTACACAGGGAAGAAGTTAGTGACACGTTTCCAGACTGCAGGGGCAGGTTGGAATTCATGAGGGACTCGTCCTTGTGCGATAACATTGGTTTGGCTGCTCTGTACAGAACATGACAGGCAGAAAAATCCCTCCCTATCTCAAGATGTGATTGTTCCAATACAGAAGTGTATAAGGACGGCTGAGAAAAGCCTCCAGAAGGACACGTGGGAGTGAGTCCACAGCAGGACTCATTTGTTCTTACAAGGGGCATCTTATATGCAAGTTACCTGAACACTCTGGGTGTTCAGGTTCATCTCTGCCTGACACCATAACTCAGTCCACTTAGCAGATCTTTTCTCATTGAACAAATCCCTCATAATTATGAAAAATGCATGTACCTCTTGACAGTTTCTACCACAGGAGCTGCATCCATTTGAATTTTAAATTTAAATATTCGTGTGTAAGACAGGATTCATCTCCCTCGGCAGACAGAAACTGCACAAAGTGAGACCTAGATGGCTCCCGAATAAACGCAGTGGGAAACCGTGGGGAAAGGAGACGGCTAAAGCACCCC